CGCCTTTGTGGGCCTGCCTACTATTATAAAACCAGCTGTCGTGACTTAACTGACTTTGTGACAGTTTGTGTTTACTCCAAGTTTGGGGCGAGGCAAAAAGCCAAAAAGTAAACATGGCTAGTCAGAGTCCCGAAGCAACTTTCAGTTTGGATATTGTACCACAAATGCTTAAAGAATTCTCTCTGACTGAACGTGATATCAATAAAGCTGCTGATGATGCTGTTATTCTGAGTCTCGGACTTAATTTTTACTTATCACTGGGCCTTTGTCTTGGCCTGTCTGAGTCGGATATCGCGGCCGTCAAAAAAGACAATCACTCAGACCAAGATAGAGTCGTTGCTTTGTTCTGGAAATGGCGAGAAAGAAAGGGATCAGATGCAACGTACCTCTCATTATTGGAAGCTCTTATCAAATACGAAAATAAAGAAGCCGCGGAGAAGTTGTGTCGCAAAATTCATGCATCAAGCAGATCTACCAAATCAAGTTAGTACTTTAGATACCTTTCTGTTGTAACTTTTAATTATCAATCAATTAAAACTGTGATTGGACTGCAACCATACAATATGCCTTAAAACATCTGTATGCATGACTGACTGTTTTCTTTAATTTTCACTTTCAGGCTTTAAGACGCAATCATCTCTGTCTTATCAATCCAGAGACAGGCGTCCAATAAGGCATCCTATTAATCAGTCACAGAAGAAGGTTTGGTGTGAGAAGAATACTGGCAATAAAGCATGGAAGATCTTTGACCAATATCACGATCGACTGGTCAATATTCTTCGATGTGACATTGCTCTTTGTGACAGTGTGTTCAAGATTTTAGCAGATAATTTTCTAATTGGAATAGCAGAGAAAGATGTTATTCAACAGCTGACTAACTTGGATATCAAAAGTAAAGCTATTATGAGACACGTTTCTATCTTCATCAGTAAAGCTAGAAATCCTATTCGTGCGTTTGCAAAATTTTCAGCCATCATTCAAGAATTTGAAAATTTTAGAGAAATTTATAATGAGATACAGTTAAAAGGTATTTTATACATGATTTTATGTTAGTTCACTTAGCTGTATGTTTGTATGATCATTTTTTTAGCTTCCAAAGTCGAAATTGTTATTAAATCTTCTTTTGTCTTGGTAAAAAATTCACCGTCTCTCACAAGCAATAGAGAATCATCTGCTAATTTTTCAGGTAATTTTTTACTAAAAAATTTGTCAATTTATTTAAATTAGATATGACCCACAATTTTTGTTTGTATCATTTAATTACAGTAAATACACGCCAAATTGAATTTTTTATCTAATGATGTGAATTATTTTAGTTGAAACCCCTAAGATTTATGCATGTCCCCAATTCTCAATGCCACCCTAGTACAAGTAATCACTATATTGGCATAATTAATTATTATTTTTTAGATGCTGTTTATGATGATTCTTTGTTAACTCCACCTATTAAGAAGTATTCACGTCATTTGAAGAGCTGCTATAAAAAAGAAAAGCCTGATCAGAAGTGGTCCCTAGAAAACATTCCATCTAGACTTTACATCAATCTGGCCGTTGTTTGTAAAAATGAAGATTATCGTGATTCTTTCTCAAATTCCACAATACATGGCACCAATGATGATATTTTCTGTCGTAAAAAGTCTCTCTCACTTGAGGAGCTGTGCAGGATTGAGTATGGGGAAGCTGTCTTGATTGAGGGTGCCCCTGGGATAGGAAAGTCGATGCTTGCATTTGAAATATGCAGTCGGTGGGTCAAGGGAGAAGCATTGAAAAAATATCCTCTTTTATTATTACTTCGTCTGAGAGATAGGGTTATAAAAAATTGTGAGTCAGTGCGAGAGCTTTTGGGTTGTTTTTTGAAGGAGCAGAGTTGGAAGGATGCTGTTGTTCAAGATATTATCGATAATGGCGGAGAGGGTCTCATTGTTATTCTTGAGGGATTCGATGAGCTACCAGAGCATCTAACAAAACAAGATTCTGTATTTTTTCAATTTTCAACAGTGTTGCCATGTGCTTCCTTAGTTTTTACCAGTCGTCCATCAGCTAAACACTTTCTGAGACTTAAAGTGGAGTTTGAGCTTCATGTTGAAGTGATAGGGTTTACTCATGAAAATATCAATGAATATATTCAGAAATTTTGTAAAGGTAACAGCGAGCATATTAAGACTTTTAATCAGTATTTAGATGAGTCACCAAAGGTACGAGACTGTCTCTACATTCCTATTAATCTTGCTATTATATGCAGCATCTTTCAACAGTACATTATGAACAAGGAGCAAGTGCCATTGAAAGGTATCATGACTTCAACTAAACTGTACGAGGCAATGATTAAAATGTTACTCTATCGACACATTAAAAGTCAAACACAAGAGCTAGTAAGTGTTGACTTGTACAATCTTCCTCATCCCATACAAGAGGAGTTCGCCTCTCTTTGCCATATGGCTTATGATGGCTTGAAAAATCGTGCCACTGAGCTCTTATTTTATGCTAATAAAGATTTTGAGACCCTTGGAATGATGCAGAAAGAAGTTCAAGTTTATCCGGGGACAGGTGATGTCATTGCTTATTCCTTTCTTCATCTCACCATTCAAGAGTTTCTTGCAGCTTACCACATTTCTCAACTGCCAAGAAATAAAATTGAAGATATCTTTAATAGATTAAGGCATGTTATGAAATTTTCTACTATGCTTTGCTTTTTATCTGGCTTGACAGAGCTGCAATCAATCACCCCAAGAGTTGATGACGACTTGTACAGTATGACCCTATTTCATTGCCTCTATGAATCTGGAAATGAATCCCTCACAGCAAGTTTATTTGAAAAAAAAATTATACAGGGTTCGTCGCATTCTTCCTTCACCCTCACCTCAGGACATGTTCATTCTTGGTAGGTGTATAGCACTTAGTAGCTGTCAATGGGGATTGAGCTTTACACTCCGCGGAATGACTTTTGAGTATGTTGAGGAATTTCAAAGAGGATTGAACTCTGTAGAGTCTGGCCTGTCATGTAAAATAGAGGATATTAGTTTTTCTCTAAATCCAATTGGAGATGAAGGAATGATAGAATTGCTCAAGTTTCCTGAGCATATTATTAAGAATTTGGATTCGCTACGTCTAATGAGCTGCGAATTTCATTCTTGTGCAGCTATAGAGTTTTCAAAACAAGTTAGAAAATTTTCAAGCCTGGGAAATCTATTTTTCCATAACAATTTGCTTAAGGAAGGTGAACAGCTCTGCCTGATAGAAGCCATGATACCACTTAAATGTTTTCGTGTTACTTTTTCTAAGCTCAGTCCTGATGAGTGTGCAGTACTTCTAACCAAAGTATCTAGTATTGGTAAAGTTTATCTATACCAGTTGGGATCCAGTAGCATTGAAAAGGTCATTGAATGCTTACCTAACTTACTTCCTC